TCTCTTCAAATTCCTCGATGAAATTTTCCGCTAGTTTACCGGGATCAGCAAGTACAGCTTTATCGGACAATACGCCCATGCGCAGTGTACCTGCATAACTAAACACTGCAATGGACATGCCTGTATCACTGACCAATGGGGGCCAAGCTATGGCGGTCTTCACCTCCTTCCCACCAATTTCAAATGGCGTCAGAGGGCCGGGCACATTGCTCAGAATCAATGAGCAGTGTCGCTTCAGCGAAAACGACGAAAAACGGCCAATGAAATCAGGCAATCTCCCAATGATGTGAGAGTAGATGAGCCCGAAGATACGCCAATCTGATGAAGATTTCAAGTTGTCCATTCTCCGTTTAGTTTCTAGCAAACGCTTAAACGGGTCAGCCAGTCCCACGGGAAGGTTGTAGAACAAGCCAGTGGAGTGATTCTCGAGCGGTATGTTGTCACGCGACAGGACTTTAGGGGAGCGCGTGTTGATGGTGATGGCGATCTGGATGTCATCTGGGTGTTTTGAACCCTGCGATTTGAGGTAGCGACGCAACGAACCCGCCAAACAGGTTGAAAGAACATCATTGACGGTCGTTCCTGGGCAGAAACGCGAATTAATATGATCAGATTCAATTTGAATGTCGAAAATAATCCGCGATTGCATTGGGTTTGCTATTCATTTCTCTGTGATTGATCCAGAAAACTCGTTCCACCTTCTTAACCTTTTACACCCCAACATCAGTATGCACATTCTCCCTACTGTTCTCATTACATTTCCTACCGTGCTGACAAGGAGAGTTTGTTGAACAATCAAGAGCTTTATTAGTTGGTGATCATTTCCTTTACTCTCATGACCTTAATGTGTGGTTCAGGAGTAATATTGTAAGAAGAAATTAGATATTTGGCGACAATGGGTTTTTGGTGTAAATTAACTTTTCCCCAGCGTTAGCCATGAGATTCTTGACAACGGTTTAGAAAAAAAATGTTGAGCGGAGTTGAAAATGGATTAGAACGCAGATTTGATGAACAACGGTTTAACTCAATTTTGATAAATATCCTTATATTTCTGCGACCGGTATTTCTTGGCTACTCCACCCGTCCCTTCTGATCGAGAGCATAGAGCAAGCTAAGGCAATGGAAATAAAACTGGTATGCTATTACGGAGTATTGCGATGTGGATTATTAATTTTTTTTCACAGCCGCTAGCTTAGAGAACAAGTGTGCTTATTCGCGTGTCCATTCGAACGCGAGGTGAGCGCGAAGAGGGAGTCATGCGTGATGGATATACCGATAAACATCATCTTAATTTAGACAAAAAAAATTTAAAGCTACATCGCGTGTCGTACTACATCAAGCGAGAAACACACGTGGGGGAAGAGCCCCCTCTCTCGCGCTGACTAACCCTTTGCGTTTTTCTCGCTACAGCATCGCGCTTTCATCTGCTAGCAAGAAAAACGCCAAAATATAACCCTGTTCTGCAAGCTTCAAATGTCATCCGGCAAAGCCGATCACCTCAATGTAAGAAATGAAATATATTGAATTGTGTATGTGTTGCCACCTGTTCGTGCCTTGATCTCCTTCACCAGCTCCAAGTCAATAGTCTTTGTCCAGCTGAAACACTTCTCACCCGACAACTTCGTAGCTGGGAAGGGATTGTCAGCCGTGGAGAGTGCTACGCTCAGAAGAGCTAACGGACCTGTTAGAATTGCTTTCCATACCTACAAAATAAAAAGGCGAAGAACGGGATAGATTTCAACACGTATCAAAAGCAAAGTATGATGGCAATAATGTTTTGTACCTTGCCCCCCTTTCACAAACATAAGAGCTATCTAAACCCCTTAATCCTTAAGAATGACCAGCATCTAGTTTCTCCTTACAATAATAGTGCCTAATCATTCATTTCAGATCATGAGAATAAAGGAAATGATCACCAACTAAAGAAGCTCTTGATTGTTAGACAAATTCTCCTTGTCAGCACATTAGGAAATGTATAGAGAACAGTATGGATAATACGCACACTGATGTTTGGATGTAAAGGGTTAAATTGATTGTCGAGAGTAATCCCAGATTGCTTTAATTTTGCTTTACTTCGCTTTGTGTTCCGTTTTTGTTTTCAATTCGAGTCCTAAACTAGTGGTTTCTCTAGATATTTGTTTTTATTTGAATTGGCAAGTATGTAAAACTTTGCTGGTTTAACGACAGATGAAAAGAGCTCCAAAAAACTGGTGGATCTCTATGTAGGGCCTTTTGCCAGGAGAAGACACCGTCACCTAGATCGTGTAAAGCCTACAAGCAGGCCCTCATTTTTAACACTGCACGACGCGCGTTTCACCGCCTCCGGGAAGATTTGAGACGTGTCGAGGAGAGATTTGTGGGGTCTGGCACTGATGACGCTAATAGTGCCAGACTCCTCGCAGGACCTCTCGCCGACTCGCGTTGTTCAAGGCCTCATACTTTCCCGCGGACGAAGAAACACTCGTGCCGAAGAGTTAATTTTGAGGGCCTGCTCGTAAGCTACCTTGAATAAATTTCTCATCGCAGGGTAAAACCTGTTTTACCTGTTTTTGTTTGTCGCATGGGGTGGCCACGGGTTTCTTGACCCGCAGCAGCTCTGGCTTTTTGTCCATGAGCCTGGCGAACAGACCGATCATAGCAAAACCGTCTCCTATTGCATGATGGATTCTTATACAAATTGCAGTCTGATCTTTCCCTGGGAGGTCTAGAGGCGTCACTAGGATTTCCCAGGGAGAAATATCTTCACGCATCGGTGATGAAAAATTTTCACCAAGCATTTTCTGCAAATCTTCTTCGCTACGCAGGCCACCACCTTCTAATCGCCTAATGTGCTTTTTGATGTCAAAATCCGGCTCGTCTTGCCAAATGTAACGCCAGTAACGTTGAACTATACGTTTGCGCATGCGTACGTAGCTAGGTTCCTCGACATTTTGTACTACACGGGACATAATAAGTTGACGGAACTCTTCCATATCAATCGTCCCATCAACGACAAACAGGCCATTGATAAAATTACGGTTGTACTCGGTCTCGTGAAGAAAGGGTACATCATGACAAGCCAATAATTTCCCCAGTCCCCAGTAAGTAATACAAATCCCTTGGAACCATTTCAGAATTCTGAACAAGAACCAAAATGGCAGCGCGAGGATAGCAAACAGAGTCCAAACCAGAATAGCAGAGAAGCATAACAAGGCGTAAAGAAAAGACGGAGCAGACTCCATGTATTTCCAATAAAGATTCATGCTGGGAGTGGTGTTAGACTCTGATCTTCAAGCGTTAGCGTGTAGTCCACTCCTGTCAAAAAGAAAAACAAAATGATGGATATCGCATGCGAATAATCCCATTCAGTTGTGTGTAAAAAAATAAAAATAAAAAAAAAATTTAAAAAAACCAACACCAAACTAATCACAACCAATCAGAACAAAGGTTAACCCTTCAACCCTAAGATATCATTAGTAATTCTCCTCACTGTCTGCTATACAATTCTCATGATGTTACATCCGAGAATTTGGTATTGGATCAACTAGTAATCCCCTAATTGATACTTTTCTCGGTTCTCATCACTTGTCTTTTTGATTCTGTATTGATATTGTTAGGAGAAATTCAGTCTTGGTCATTCATGGGAATTAAAGGGTTAACATCTACTAATGAGGACTTAGAGTAAAACAGGCAACCCACTTGAAGCGCGGGAAAACGCGAATGACCAAGTTGATATCGGTTGTAGTTTTTGCACTTGATTGGTCCAGACGGTAGCGAGAATTTCCGAACTACCGTTGCCTCATTTTCAAAGCGAGTCCTGGTGCTCATCCTTTCATATGATTATAAGTTTTCATTCATATGCAAATTAAACTCATTTCCATGCGATTCATTGACCAGCTCCCAGTTGGCTTGTTAGCTCAATTGGTAGAGCGCTGCACCGGTATCGCAGAGGTCATGGGTTCAAAACCCGTACGGGCCTGAAATTTTTTTTTTTTTCAGGTCCTATTTACAACTACTCGTTTCAGTAGTGTTCTTAGCTGCGAGGATCTCCTTATTTCATCTTTCCACCGCAGTGCAAATATGTGAATTTTCATATATCTAAAATCTCCATGCGAATGGTTGAGCACCTGGCCTCGTTTTGAAAAAGAGGCAAAAGGTAATTCGGAAATGGCCTATTAACCCTTTACCCACTAAGACTGATTAGTAACAATTTTCTCCTATCAGTATCAGCCCTAAAGCAAACATTGAGGTCATGAGAATAAAGAAAATGATCACCAGCTAAAGACGCTCTTGATTGTTCAGCAAATTCTCTTTGTCAGTACCATAGAAAATGTATAGAGAACAGTAAGGAGAAAATGTATACTGATGTTTGGGTGTAAAGGGTCAAAGCTTAGGGTTAAGACTCTTGCAGTCTTCTATTTCAAATGCAACAACCTGATCGGTTTCGCTACTCGCCAAATATTCTGTGATGGATAAAGAGTTATGTGAGAAAACAAAAGAAACGCAATCACGTGCCTGTCTTGTTGTTAAGTTTTGAACGACTGTTACATTTATACCAAAGCGGTTACATTATTCAATTTTGATTTCTATGCGTGATAGTTCTTTCGGGTTTCACCCTGGCAGGAGCCCATTACCCTGACCCTGGTCAATTATCACGCGTTGTAAAATAACGCGTGATAAAATAACGCGTGCTGAGATACAACGAGCGCCCTAATTGGTTTAAAACCTATCGTTTATTTCACCGCTTTAACACATAGAAAAATTGAGACATACGGTGTTGATAAGGAGAATTTGTTAAACAATCACGAGCTTCTTTTGTTAGTGATCATTTCCTTTGCTCTCGTGACCTTGATGTGTGATTCAGGGGTGATATTGTACGGAGAAAGTAGATTCTAGTTACTTTTGGGGGTTAAAGGATTGAGGTAATCTCCTTCAAAAAGCTCTCAAGAGCTTCTGATGTCATCCTACGATTGAATAATAAGCAAGAGAAGAGTAAAGCGATGCATGTAAGAAAAGAAAGAGAGCAAAAAAAAAAAATGATTAACTCGCCTAAAATATTCATATACAAGAATGTAAGGAAGAATTCTCGCACGAGATGCCATAACTAGTCCACGTTAACAAAATCTATGGAAATTCAACCTCTCAAAAATCACTTGACAACCGAAAGCCTTTCGCAGTTCCCTTGAAGGGCCACAAAATAATTTCCAGAGTACAGTCATGTAAATTTAACGACGGCGTTGAGGTGCTCTTGAACTTTTGACCGACAGTATATTTGATTATGGCGGTGCGTGTTTCCAGCCTGACCACAATACAAATACATACTTAACGCAAATAAAAAAAGTCTAGAAACATTCTCAAAAAGGGTGAGGGTTTTATCGAGTACAACACCTTTAAACAAGAACATTTTTTGTCCCAAAGTATTCGATCTGGCTGCCAGTCACAGTCCGCATTTCCGTTAGCAGACCTCTACGAGATATCCGGTGCATATGGAGCCATTCTAAGAACTGTGCTCCGCAGCATTTTTCGACACAATTACTGATTCTTTTAGTTTTCCCATTGCTGCGTACTTTCCTTCTAGTGTGCACGATGGGCGCTTTAGAAAAGAACGCGAAGAACCTTTCTCGCAATACTTTATCAACCGGCCGGTAAATGAAACAAAATGACCTCGACCTTCAATCATACTGTGTTCAGTTTGCAATAAACTAGACACGAATATTGGTAACTGTGGTCAAAATAACTCGCGTTTCTTTTTGTGGCGTCTTTGTACGTTTCACTTTCCCTGAGCTTTCGATTATTATAAAAATCAGTTTCTGAAACTTGGAATATCATAAATGACAACAGTTGGATTAAGATTCAAACAAAATTAGGCATATTTCCTTCTGAGCAAAAAGCCGGCTATGTTAAAACAAACGTCGCTCGAAATACATCAGCCCTAGCTTCCTTTTTACAGTTTTTCTCGGGACCAAGACAGATAGTGTTGTTTAATTTTTAACTAAGTTACGACATGCCAACACACATACTTCGTCACGCCTTTATGCTCGATGTAAAAAGTTACGGTTTGCTAAAAAAAAGATTAGGGATCTTCATAACACTTACTGGTTTTAGTAATGAAGTCCAAATTATTTGAACAACTCTCTCAAGATCTGATGATTCGGACTGTTTTTAGTGGCGGATGTTACAGCCAAGAAGTGAATGCACTCTGCATCACCGCTCGCTGAGCTATGCTATTTCCTCGCTATCACGTGATTTTAACTTCCAATCCTAGTAAATTCACACAATTTGATCCTTTAACCTCGACCGAATCGGTGATGAAAGATTATCAATTTTCACGGATGCAAAAAAGCAAAGGCTTTCCGACAGGATATTAATTTACCTCATCACCTTATTCGGCAAATTACAGAAACAGCGGAAACACAAGTACCATAGAACCACAAACTACTTCTGCAAGAGTTTGCTAAATAAATACTGCTTCACGGGGCTGTATAACCACTGCCAGGTATTAAATTTCACTCTTTACTTAAACTTTTCTGCCTTATGATATAATTATTACTGTTTAAAGCTATTCTGTAGAACCAAAATAGGCCTCAACCCTTGAATGTCCAAGATCCAATAAGTAATTCTCTCTACTTACAACGATACTTTTCCCTGTAAATTAAACAGGAGAATTTGGTCTATTTCCAAAATAACACCCTCTTGCTGATTAACTTGTCTGTTCTCATAACCTGTTTACAAGACAACTTATAGGAATTGCAAGGAGAGGTTACATGTTGATCACTTCTGGGAGTTGAAGGGTTACCTCTTGAGTTTAAGGTGTTACTTGAAAATTTAAAAAAAAACTATTTAGCTGAGGAGGGGGGGAGGGTATTCCTCCCTTTCCCCCCTTCCCTTAACTGCACTAATGGACATATGTTGACAACTCTATCAGAAATACATGTCATCAATTCTCTAACAATAACATTTATCCTATATACCTTTGCATAGGGTGCTGAAAAGAAATATTCACAAAAAAAAAATTCATATCAGAAAAAATGACTTCTTCAGAATTTCTTGGTTTTAACTGACCAAAACCTGTCAATAATTCTTCCTAGTGTAAAACAGTCAGCTTTCAGTACAGAGTAAAATGGTTTCTTCCTTTATTGGCAAAGGAAGTGGAACTCAGAAATGTCTGTTCATTCAAATCATAACAGATGGCTTGTTCTGATGCTCTGCCAGTGAGCTACAAAGAACTCTGTGTTAACCCTTTTTAACTTAACATCAGTATTCATATTCTCTGCACTGTCCTCTCTCATCTCCTATGGTGCTGACAAGGAGAATTTATTTGTCAATCAGGAGCTTCTCAATTTGGTGATCACTGCCTTTATACTCATGACCTTTATGTTTGATTCAAGGATGTTACTGCAAGGAGAGATCAGAAGCCAGCTACCCCTTGGGGTAAGGCTTTCAAAATCAGTTCAACAAATTTTTCAATTTTTTCAAGAAACACCCTTTAGAAACATTTTTGCTGATATGGGAAAAGCAACAAAACCTGTATGACAGAGTGAATTGAGCTATGAACAGACATAATACCATGAAGAATTTCATACCTACATTAAATATTCCATCTCCTACTTTTGTGAATTTTGTTTTTCATTCAATAGATTGGAACTGGACTTGATGCCATGCAATTGGGGAAAATTTCTCTGCTGATAAAAACAGTTCATGAGAGAGGACTATTCTTTGCAATACGGGAGAAAATTCAAAACTTCATTGAATAAATCATCAGAAGCAGGTGCACTTTATTGGTTTTTATTATTAGGGTAATCCAGGCTTAAAATAATTTCACATGGAATTGCACATGGAAAGAAATCTAATGCAAGCATTTCATAAAAAGACCTGCCTGGCCTTTGAGGCAAATCATTCAAAGAATTCATCTCCCATCAAGATATTACTTTGACTATAAAGTAAAAATCTCTGTCTATCCTGGCCAATGATCCTATTATTCTGTTTAATGTTTTTACATTTAACATCAAGGTAAAGATAAGTCTCTAAACAGATATTCACTGTAAAGAATGCTTGCTGGAGCTGATTACTCAACACTTCATTAAAAAGGAAGGTGGTAAGTGGTTTATATGTGATGCTTGATTAAGCCAAAAATCAGTGTGTGACATGTGGATTTAACAGAAACGCAAGGTTAGGCAAAATTTCAAGTTCTCCCTTTTAAATTCATGATGCATGAAATAATGTTTAAAGAACACCTGATGGGTGAATATTTCTTAAATTCATGCATGAAATGGGATCAGGATCATCTTCACGATGACTTAAACTCTGAAATCATCCATGCGATTATCAAGTGAACCCATTTTTCAATCACTGTTACAAATGAAAAAATTTCTCATGCATAGTACCATAATAAATCATATTGTTGTCTGCTCACTGGTGCTGAAAATAATTATTCTCTTGTCTTGCCAAAAAGGTTGCTACTAATTAAGAATGTAAACATCATTATGACATTTGGATTCTTTGAATGTAATTTCAGTGAATCGAATTTTCCATTTTATTCTCTTGACCACATGGCAGAAACCGTGATGGTATGCAATATTCTTAGGGCACAGCATTTGAACAGACCACAGGAAACACTTCAACTTCCGCAATTTCATTGTCTTGCTCCTGCTCTGATCACCTATAATTTTTAGAATCATCCATTTGCACCTCAATGAAAAGAAAGACACCAGACTTAATGTTCATTTGAAACAAATGTCCAAATTACTGCATTTTTCTTCAGTAATCATGTTTAACCTTTTTACTAACTGAGTTTTCAGTCCGTGCTGTAAGTAACCGACCAAATTTTTTCCACTTGGATTTATGGCCCTAGTGCAAAGCGGAAAAGACTTGGTCCATAACCTACAATATGGACTGAGAAAACAGGTTAGTGAGATATTTATTGTATCTCTGGGTTCAAACAGTGGGAAAGATTTTAATTCAAACAAACTTTTGAATTTAACGGGCTTTGTAGTGAAATACCGCAAAATTGACCAACCAACACACACGTGATGCACTCAGCTTACTATACAGGGAAAATCAATCGACCTTGCTGCCTAGCGTAAATTGACAGAAGAGCGTTTGAAATGCCACGATCGATAACCTATCATGACTATTCTACGTCGAGAGGGTGACGATGAAAATTCGTTTATCTACGAAAGTTCGTTGATCTAAAACAAATTATTTTGACAAGAAAACTAAACTCGCTAAAGGAAATGTTGAATTGCATGCCTGGCTGATATATCTTTTTCTATCGCTCGTAAAGCGAAGGGATTAGACCACCCGTACTATTATGGACGTTCGCCAGGCCAGTAACGGACATCAGTCGTAAACATTCCAAAACCAAGAGAATTTTTCGATTAAAACATACATTATTGACTTTGCAAATTTAGAGGATTGAAACTAGTGTAGACCCATGTAATATCACGTGCCGCCAAAAGAATCAAAACTCGACATTGATTGACCTTCTCCTAGTTATACGTATACGTATAGTAGTAATCACAAACGAGAAAGCCAAGAAATCAATTTTTTATCCTGTTCTAGAATTCAAGAAGAGCGGACAAGAGTAGATTCGTCAGGAAAAAAAATGAAGGACGTGAGAGCAAAGCTTGCTAAAGGCACGAAAGCACAAGATAACTACCGTAACCGGCGTTTACCTCAATTATGATAGCGAATGAGTTAGTACCGTTAAAAAATCCTACCTTTTCACATTCGACACTAGTCAAGGCGCTAGTGCTGCCACTCAGGTCTCCTTCCTCTCAAAAACCAAGAAATAAGAGACAAAATCGCCTCTCTACTCTAGTCCTGTAGTATCGGCAAGTCGCTTTCGTAATTATGTCCATCCGCATTGTTGTGATGAAAGAAATGTCATGTGACCTAACGATAGGATTGGATAGGACTGTCATCTTGTCCCACAACAGAAATAGACTTACAGCGAAGTATTCAGTTTACCCAGAGCTACACAACCTTTAAAAACGGTAGACTCACTTTCTTTCAACGTTACCTACGCCGTAATCTTCTCGTGCGCTCCAGTGCGATCTGAAACTGTGGGAGAGGTGACCTCTATCGGTGAGGATCTTGATAGGTCACTTTCAAAGGAAATATGTATATTTTTTTTAACTCGTTATCACCTATAGAGGATTGAATTTTAAGCTGCATATATATATTTCTATTTAAATCAAATTTCCGTGAAATCACAGGCGGCCCAAGCTCCAGTTGTGAGATGATCATCTTGCGAAATTTACGACCGCTCTTTGGAATAGAAAAATATAGTCACATTCTCAATAAAATTGCCTCACCTTACTTCCGCAGCACATCGCTTGTTATCTGACCGCTAACTATGTTGAAAAGAACCATTTTACGAGGTTTACTACATAAGAAGGCTTCTCTATCTTCTCTCCTTTCCGCTGAACTCAATTTTATTACTTCGGCACCCCTCGCGTGGTTCTCGCCTATCCATCGAGGCTGAACGGAAACGAAAAAAAATTGGAAAATTTTAAGTCTTGCCGACTCAAATATCTTGTGTGCTCCTTGTGGGTCAATTCGACACTAAATCACAACAAATCGCCAGACTTAGAACATTCTGAATCCTAATCACAAACGTAAGATGTCATATTTTTCAAAATCTTAACTTAATTTTGACTGATAGACAAATTCAAAAAAATTTCCCGGTTTTCCAAGGTAAACCCTATTGGGTTTCCCAAGGTAAACCCTATTGGGTTTCCCAGGTAATCTAGTGTTAACAACTGAATTGAAAACGTAAATTGGCCACCGTATAGGGTAAAAAAGCTGACGTTTCGAGCGTTAGCCCTTCGTCAGATCGCTCTGACGAAGTTTCGAGCGTTAGCCCTTCGTCAGAGCGACTAATCGCACTGACGAAGGGCTAACACTCGAAATGCCAGCTTTTTTACTCTTTAAGGTGGCCAATTTACGTTTTCAACTCAGTTGTTAACACAAAATTACCTGCTATACTCTCGCACCGACGCAGCACCACAGTTTCTTTAGAAACTTACCCCTTTATCCTGTTGGGTTTCGTTTCGCCTCGTCTTCGTGTTCTGTTGACCGCGTAGGCCTGGTGAAAGCACATGAATCGCTCGCTCAACTGAAAGGCCGATAAACGCGAGTTTAGGTTGCAGCCTATATTCATACCATTTGGAGCTACTTTCTTGAGATCTACTTCTCTACTCAGAGGTAACAGACACCCCAAGATCTGATGTTTTTTAGTTGTATGTTTTAAAACAATTAGGTAGCTGAATATGGGATTCGTGTGGATTTTCGACCCAGTTGTTTCAATGTGGCGTTTCACCTTGTAGAATGCGGAGTGTTTCTCTCGTCGAACTCGCCTTTGAAGCTTACCTTGCCTTCGTTAGGAAAAAAATAGTTTTTATAATAGGAATTGTTTTCCTAAGTTTTGAGACAAACTTTAGTGTGGTTTCGACCACGGATCAAGTGCGAAGCTTATACGAAAGATTTGTCTTAAAGCGAGATGTTGTTGCTTCAGTTTTCAAGTGAAATTTAATGTGATATCAGTTTTAAGAAGTAAGCCGTTGCTGTTTGTCTTCTGCGACGTACCTGCTTTCCTTCTCGGGGAGAGGGACCAAGTCTTTCAGCAGTTACTCGTCAATTTTTTGAATAACTGTTTCATGCTGTTTCTTTCTGAGCACTCTAAAATGCGCGCGGAAAGATCGCTATTAGTTCTTTGATACAAAAGAAACAATGGCGAGAGCAATAGATTACCTTTTGGACGAAGGCTTCCATATCGAACAGTGTTGGTTATGCACTAATCCTTTCTTGCAGAAAATGTGGCTTTTAATAATGGTTCGCTTATCTTATTTCTACAGATGATCAAAACAAAATATCACTCTACCAGTCGCCACTACAAAAACTTTCACACTTCAGTACTCAAACTGATAATGTAGTCAGTGTTTTAACGCATCACCAAGTTTAACATACTTCTGATTAAGAATTAATTTCATTAACTATTCACTTTTCCGTGAAAAAAAGCAAGAGAAATTGCATTAATCAAATTTAAAATGTCCTTAAAATTGACATACTACCTGAGCTACGATAGAAAAGAATCCAAAAATCATTGACTACATTTTGATGATGTATTAAATTATTCCACCTCAATTCTTCTAGGCCAACATTTACAAGCATCAAAAAACAGCATATGAACTTTTACAATCAATATAGCTTAAAGTTCTATTTTGATGTTTTTTGATCCTAGATACTAAGGTTTAGGCATATTTAGTTAACCCCTTACACTTCATGATCAGTATACACATTCTCCATACTGTTCTCTATACATTTCCTCTGGTACTGAGAGGGAAAATTTGGTTAACAATCAAGAGATTCTTTAGTTGGTGATGATCTGTCAATTCTCATTCCCTTAACCCGTTGGCCCCTTAGAGTGACCAGCATATAATTTCTCCTCATGATATCACCCTTGAATCACATGTTTCAGATGGTACTCACTCTTACGGATCAATTGGTTAAGCTATTGATAATGATTTGTTTCTGCAGATGTCAACTCCACGAACATACAAAGTGTATGTTGGAAACCTTGGGGAAAATGGACGAAAGGATGAATTGGAGAAAGAATTTAAAAGATTTGGAAAACTGCATGATGTGTGGGTTGCCCGTAATCCACCTGGATTTGCCTTTGTGGAATTTGATGACCTGCGTGATGCAAAAGATGCCATTGACGCCCTAGATGGCAAGCATGTCTGTGGAGCCCGTATAAGAGTAGAAATGTCTCGACACAAGGGAGGCCGTGGTGGTCGAAGTGGGGGTGGTGGTGGTTACCGTGGTGACCGTTCTGGTGGTGGCAGACATTTTGAGGACAGAGGAGGAGGATATGACCGTTATGATGATCGCTCCAGATCACCGTATAGGTAAGTAAATTGACCTTTTAGTGAGATTGCCTTGGAGTAACTTGAGCTTATTGGTGCAGGATTTTACTACCTTTAGTTTTAGGTTTTTCTTTGTTGTGGAATACTTCTGTGGTGGTTTCCTTCAACCTTCATGATCATGATACAAGGGAGAGGAAATTGAAAAACTTTTCTAGTTTTAAAGAATATTGAATAAAGAAGTACTTTTTTTTTCTTAAAAATGAAACTTTCATTTGATGAATACTGCTTTATGTGATTAGGTTTGTCATGATTTATTATTAGAATGTAACAGTGCATAGACTGAAAATACTTTTTGAGTTACCTGTCCCTATTTCCCTTGAAAATTTTACAAAATTATGGAAATGCTACATTTTGAAATTGCATTTCAAACTGTCTTTATCTGTTTACAGGGCTTGAAGTCAATATTAAACTTCTGATCAAATTTACTTGAAATCAATAAATACCTCTAAGTTTGTTTTGTAAATAAAACAGCATTTAGGTTGAAATGAATTAAAGCTAGGTTTATTCGTATTTGTCCTTTTTTAACCCTTGACACTCTAACATCGTTATCTGTATTCTCCATACTATTCCCTATACATTTGCATTGGTGCTGAGAAGGAGAATTTGTTTAACAATCAAAGCTTCTTAGGTTGTAAGTAATTTTCTTTGTTCTTATGATCTTAAAATAAATGATTCAGCAGAACTACTGCAAGGAGAAATTAGGCACTGGTCACTCTTAGTATCAAGAGGGTTAAGAATTTTGATAATGTATCCTCAACTAAGGCAAATGTGAAGTAAACTTAAGTCTAGTGTAAAAATCATTTTGACCCAATTCCATTCAATATTATAACATGGATCTTAAGATTTCACTCCAAACAGTGATAATGTTAAATATTTTGTTACAGCTGGGGGTGCTGATTGTCATTTGTAGCCATAATACTAGTTAACATTTCCACCAAAATAACTATTTGGGTTATTCTTTAGGTTCATCCATACCTCGTCCTCGCATCTTTGTTACATTTTTGCAGTTGCAAGTTCAACAAAGTGTCGTGATTTAGATCACCTTTGTACTCCGTCCAAATTTCCAGTAGTTCAAGATGTTGCAACAAAAAAACATCAACACGGCCAGTTCCAATTCTTCCTTCAATCAACCTCCAAAACCTGCTCTCATCCACCTGGAATCAAACCTTTCAACTCAACCTCCCTCCATAACTAAAATCACCACACCCTGATTTTGTACCCTCGGATTCTGATATGTATGGACCAGGAGTGTCTCAATCGGCATCACTGAATTGTTACCAAGTGCTGCCAGGGTTCTTTCATAAGAGAGCAACATGCACACCTCTCCTCGAATGTCATCCTCCCCCAGCAATGTTAATTTTGCACTTCAGCATGTGAACAACACATCAGCTTTCTTTAACAAGGAAACCCAGTTTTCCTCTTCTACATTAGCAACTGCAGGTAGTGCTTAATGTAATTTCAGTGGTTAAAATTGGTAAAAACATCTTGCAATTATTTTATGTTGCTTCCTAACTTACTCTACTTTCAAGTACATATTTTTCAACAAGTGTAAATTTTTCTTACAGGGCATTATTTTTTTTATGGTCATTTGTGAAGTACTGGTCTTTGTTATAAATGATGAAGAAATTTCAAGCACCATACTTGTAGCATGCATGGAGTTAACCCTTTAAGTCCCACTGGTGACCTAGACAGAACTTCTCCTTACACTGTCAGAACTATATGAAGCAGACAAGTAATGAGAATAAAGAAAAATATCAATTAGGGCATTATTGGTTGATCCAATTTCAAATTCTCCAAACTAACATCACATAAATTGCATGGCAGACAGTAAGGAGAATTACTAATGGATTCTTGGGAGTGAAAGGGTTAAAACTGTGGTTGAATTTTTGGTAAGAGGTCGGTGGTTGTATCCAGTTTTTTCTCAAAATTGATATTCTTTGTTTTCACAGGGGTGCCTATAGAATAAGGAGACCATTAGTAACATGTATCTCAGGGGTTTAGAAAGAAGCACAAATGCCAACTGACAATGCATGTTTTTGTTTTGTGTTGAAGGTCACCACCGCGTAGAGGGGGAAGGTCTCCTGAGCAAGACAGGTACATCAACTTTGATGTATAATAAATACAGCAGTTTCTAGTAGAATATTTCTTTACTCAGATCAAAATGTGTAATGGCCAAAATTTTTGTCAAAACGTCACCATAAAGCAAGTATCTTTTGCTGTAAAATTTTGAAACTGTGTAAGTGGCTGTTGATTAAATATAAACATGCTGAAATTTGTGCGTCATTGATATTTTGTTACATGCAAACATCCAAATTGCTGTTTAAATTAATCTAATGTCATAGTGATCTCAAACCAGTTTGATTCATATTTTTCTCAGTCAAGGGACTGGAAATGTACCCAAAACAAAAGAAAGAACAAATTAAAGTAGTTTTGAGCATTTTGACCTGAAATGCATTTGAATTTAAAAAATCCTTTTTAACACCATGTGCATTGTTTCCTTCAAAAGGTGGCCATCAAGAGGAAGGAGCAGGTCACGTAGCCCACGCCGTTACTAAATGTGGCATTACGTAAGCAGGTATTAAAAATCAGTTCATATTTATCGTATATTATTATTATCTGTAATCTAAAGTTCATTACTTGAAGTTCAATTTCATGTTAAGTCCCTTCAGAAGTTGCATTTCAAACTGCAGAAAATTTAGATGAACTAATACCTGTACATAAAGTATGTAATTTTTTGACCGGAACTTCATGTCACAACAGTTTTACTTTTATGGAGGCATTTTTCCAGAACTGCTATTGGTCTGTTTGCTTGTTTTGTCTGTTGAACCTCCAAACCCTTTCTGCCCACTGAGGTTTGCACAATAATGAAATTTAAAAAAGAAAGAAAGAAAAAAACAACAACAACAAGCCCATCCTGAAGCCTTGCCTTCTTCCAAAAGTTTTTCAATTGGATATAAGGTAATAAATTTGCAGCATTCTATTTTGCTGAATTTTTTCTACAGGAACTAATTTTTGTGGACTGAGGACAATTTTTAAAATCTGAAAAAATTTATACCCACAGACTTTTCTTGTCGCAGTATTGTTCATTGTTAATAAACTACAGGCATTATTCCCTGCAAATTACTGGTGGTGCTGTCTCTTAGTATATTATTCACAATATTTTCCATTATCTGTTACAGATTTTCCCAGACAAGTGGAATTCCGCATTGTTCTGAAAGAGAAAGCTTTAATTCAAATAAGCTTCCATTTTGATTTATACCCTTTTCAGTCCTATGTCAAAATCTTCATATTTCTGTCTTTGAAACATTTTTTAAAGAATAAGTTGTTACAAGTATGCAATTTTTATGTATTGACTCGAAAGAGATTAACTAACGTAGTTTTGTCATCATCTGTTCAATATTTAGTCAGCTGTTTTAACTGGAGTATTTTGAAAGGAGAAGTTTGGAACTGTAGCAGTCTTTACATGCTCTGACTTTTTCCTTCATTTGTAAATTAATAATGCAGTAGATAGTTCAATGACTGTTAACATCATGAAACTCCTCAGGAGAACAGAACTGTTACAGATCAAGTCAAGTTTTGCCTGATTTTTCTGTTGTTACTTGTTAGATTTTAAGTTAAATGTGTAAAACATTTTTGATGTCAAAATAAAGTCTCCTTCATTATTCAGTTGAGGTAGATGGTGAACAGTCAATCAGCAAAGTATCTCAAAGTATCAGGTGAAGTGGTGTGCTGTGCACGCTATTTAACCTTTAACTCCCAAGATCTGATTGATAATTCTCCCTGCTGGCTACAAGACATTTTACTCATAAATTAGGCGCAAGAATTTGGTATTAAATCAAGATAACTTCTACCTGATGAGTTTGAGTATTCTCGTGACCTGTTTGCTGATGATATATGGATGATTTATGAATCTTAACTTTAATCACTTCTGGGAGTTGAGGGGTTAAACCTTGGTTCTGGCAAACATGGAAAGTACCTAAGGAAATACACCAGATGGTTTGAATGCGGAGGAAACAGTTGATCAGCACGAGAGTGGTCCTGAAAAGGACTGTTTTAGGTTACAGTGACCTTATAGATAGACATCGTAAGGGTAACATGACTCTGATAATCACTCGGCTCTACTGATGACTCCAACTTTGGTTATCAAAATGTTGATAGCTGTCGCTGAAAACACTTCTTTTCAGAATATTATTACTCTCACCTGGACAATTAGACTAGTGAGCAAGCAAGCAAGCATTCATCACGCGCAATGACATCTGAAAAAATTCAAGCAGGTGAGAGGTCTTTTTATGCACGAAGTCTTGCGAACCTCCAGTGCATTCATACTTGTCTCCGGCTCGAAAGGCATGGGTTTCACTGCCAGTGGTACGATGGGACCTCGATTTAACGAGGTGCCATGGTACTGGGAAATTGGTTGTTAAATCGAAAGTCTCGATTTAACGAATTTGCAGAAAAACAACCTAAATGTTCGCTATATTGAGGGATGGTTAATAGATTTTAATATTATTGTTTTATATTATTTTTTTTGTGGCGTGAAGTCGCGCTACCCAGCATTTTGGGATCGGAACGACTAATGTAAATAACGTGTGCATCATTTAATTTCTATATGAAGCTACATTGCACCGCCGGTACATGTCTGTTCATAGCTACAGCACCGTGTTTTTAAAGCAGGGAGGACAAATTTCAGTGGAATTCACTGGCAAACGGAGAAACAAGGGCATTGGACTAGAAATTCCTGCCTCTTACACCTTTTACTACAAGAATCCTTTAAAAATTAAGAGGTTGATTTAAACTTAATAGAACTAATAAGAGACAAAGAGGATAAAGCGGATCTATAGATGTGTCGATAGCGTCAGTGTCGGCATTTAGAATAAGCTGTTAACTGTGAAGTTGTTCTGTTGTTACTGAATTGAAGTAGTTTGATTCTTGTTGGTCTGTTTCGCATTTGTCTTTTGCCACGTGCTAGTATTTGTTCGCTATATCGGGGTATAATATACGTTTGGGCTTCTGGAGTGTGTTCGTTATAACGAGGGTTTCGTTACATCGACGACATCGAGGTTCTTTCTCAAACGTTTTATTGTAACTTTCGCCAGGCTGAAGAGTATCCTTCGTAATACCGAGGACTTCGTTATATAGAGGTTCGTTAAATCGAGGTTGCACTGTACACCAATGCATCCTTAAGATCTCCTCTAAATGATGAGATAAGAATTTTGACCGAGGATAATTTAATTCCTCATAATGTGGGGGTTACTCCCTCATTTGCCATAAATGAGATGATTTCAGCAACACCCTTTCACCCAAGTTTCCTCCAACCCTTTCACTTCCAGATCTAGGTGTCAATTCTCCTCTCTGCTCTCCCATGTTTCTCGTAATGTTGGGTTAGAGAAAATGGTGACGAATCAAGCACTATCCCTCTCCTCATGTTTTTCCTTCTTCCCGGTGATATTGTAGTGAGAAATTTCTTTTTGGTCACTTCTGGAAGCAAAAATGTTAAATGCCTTCCCTGAGAGCAAAATTCTCTGAAGTTCATAACTTGCAGCTTTCCCTGCCCCTTCTGTAACTTTCTTTGTATTTATCCTCACTCTCTCCTCCACTCATTTTGTAGCAACCTATAACCAAATATATTATCAAACACTGCATGAGGAGTTCCAACAAAAGCTGGTTATTAGTGATCTACAGGCACCTGCAAGACCTCAATGCCATCTGTTTAGCATGTAAGAAGGCTCTCATGTTTGGGTTTACAGTACAGCCACTTATGGAAAAGCGGTAGTTAAACCCCCAGCACTACTCATTTTAGCATATGATGCTTGCCCCTCCGTCGGTCATGATCCCGGAGAGTTCCTCTCAAGGGGTACCTACAAGGATTATATCACCACAAGAACAAAAATGAAACAGAAGTTAAGTGTCCTGACTAACTCCACATCCAATCTTGTTTGAGCAATTTCTTGTACTCCAAACCATGCCCTTTCAAACTGCACCGGTGTCGCAACTTTCAAGGTTTGTGAGATACTCCACTTGAGTCTACATGAACAGTAAACTGATTTCAGTATGGCGGTCATAAACCTCCTCGAACTGTTCCAGAAAGCACGTGGAGGACAGACACTGGGTTAATGTTATCGTAAACTTGCGGAACAAGAAATGAGTGCTGGTGGAAAATGCATCGCTAAAATGACTGTGTTTTTTAACGAAACAATACCATCGGAAGTTGTCACATGTTTTTGTACACGCGCATTACTAAGGTATGGTGCTATGCTGCAGTGTTCTGACAGCAATTTGCATTTGATGGATGTAGATATGTGTCGAAAAACAGTGCTTCCTAGCTTGAAAATGGTTTGTAAATCCCACAATCAACAATTCTTGAGAGCAGAAAGAGAAGAGAATCACTTTGTTTTATAAATAATGATTTACTCATTTGCAGCTAAGCAGTAATTTACGATGCTCGATTTCAAAATACCCATTTCAACAATGTCTTACTTTTAATGTACAGTGATAGAGACCTTTCGAAGTATGTGAAAGAAGAAAAGAGAATTTTAAAAGAAGAACAAATAGCTGTCCAGGTTGAGGTAAATGTCTATTTTATGCTGCAATAGTCAAACAAGATTACTGAACAGTATGGAGTGTTGGTAGATGTTCGGTCATGATCATTTTCAGCAGGATTCCTACACTTAATATCTTAAAGACAGCTATAGCACTTGTGAGGAAAACTCTGAGTAAATTTGTGGAAATGTAACGAACTTTTTGCGAATACAAATTCCCCAGAACACTTTACAGAGAGTGTTGAAATACAGTACAGACTTGTACCCCAAAAGCATTTCATGTGCAGATGCTATGAATCAGAGTGCCATTGCTATTAAAATAGCTCATAATAATCTATCATCATTTCCAAATTTTTCTGGTTTTTAACTGTCCCATGAAGCTTACTTGAAATGATCCTCACATTTAAATACTAGACATTTCTTTAAATTGTTTAACCCTTTCACTCCCACAAGTGACCAAGACAGAACTTCTCCTTACAATATCAATATAATATCAAGCAGGAAGGTGATGAGAATAGAGAAGAATATCAATCATGGGATTATTAGTTGATCCAATACCAAATTCTCTGAACTAACATCATAAGAATTGTATGACAGATAGTAAGGAGAATTACTAATTAGATCTTAAGCCCTTTACACCTTGACATCAGTATAATTATGTATTCCCATAATGTATTTAAAATATTCCCTATGAGACGAACAAGAAGAATTTGCATTTAAACAAGAGCCTTTTAAAATGGTGGTCATTTCCTTTATTCTCAAAACCCTGATTTTTGATTCAACAATGATGTTTTGAGGAGATTTTGGATGCTAATCACTCATTCTTGAATCATTAACTCTGCATGTACAAGACAATGCATCTTGATGACATCGATGAATCTGATGAGACTCTGTTCCAAGAGCTAGAATTGATGAAGAAGATGGGTTTGCCAACATCTTTCTGTGACATGAGTTCTGAGAAAGAGGTTTGTACTCTTCATGGCTTGTTAGTAAGCATTCTAATAGGATCTGTGGCATAAGCAGGAACTGAAGCCAAAGCTATTACTCTAGTATTTGGCTACAATAATTGTATTACAAATTATTATTATTACAAATTTTCTCTTGTTTCTAATACACTCATCTCTTTGTCTTTGCAGTCTGTATCATGTAGGGAGACTAAGAGACAAAAGAGGTTAAGTAAAAGTAAAGAAAATGATGCTTTACCAAGGGAAAAGCAAATTACAAAGTTCAATAAAACAGACAGCAAGAGAAAGTGTGAGGCAAATAAGCAAATGATAAATACTGCACTTCCTTCAGCAAATTTTGAAATTGATGAGGGTTGCTCAGGTCTATGTATACCAGAGCAGGGAACAGTAACTCCCCATTGTTGCTCAGATCTCCATGATGAAAGTCCAATTCAAAGAAAGAAGAATTTCTTTGAAGACATGGACAATACCAAGTTCAGTGGAGGGAAATTTTTGCAGGAGAACTCAAGTGTTACTATGCCACCATCAGATGAAATGTCAGAACACCAAGTCGATAGAGAATGTACCTGTTCACATGATTTTTCTGTGAAGTTCTTTTCTCAGGACTGCACAGAGAATCAAAATAGTGCTCCTACTGAAAATATACCTGAAAGTCAAGTGGAAGAACAAAATGATTTACAGTTGTTGGAACAATTAGATATCAGCAAAAGCAGTGATTCTGAACAAGAAGATGAGAGAATGCAAACCACTGAGGGAACTTTTATGCTGGAAACCCCTTGTGTTTTGAATTCTGAAGAGAGTGGTACAGCTGAGCAAAGCCAACTAGTGTACCAACAGGAACAGGATTCAAGTGCAAAAGCTACAGATTCTCAGAATATTACAATCCCTGTTCCTATAACAAGTGTCCCAGAAGGTAGGAAAAGTCTTTTAGTAGTTGAACAATCTAATGGCAAATTTGAAACTCATACTCTTGACGACACAGAAGAAAAAAAAACTCTCTCTTATTCTTATAATTATAATACCACAGAACAGAACATCAGTTATGACAGTGGCTGGGAACAGTATTGGAAAATATATGGTTACTCTTTGGTATGGGAAAGCTGGAAAACAATTTATCCTCAAATTGTTAGTGCTCAAAGTAATAACTGTTTAACAGATGATGAAGAAGCAAGCTCTTCCAGTGAGGTCCAAAGTGATACCCAAGCAAACACCTCAATGAATGGAGAAAAAAAAGAAACAGAAGTAAACTCACTCTGGGAACAAAATTACCAGGATGTACATCATTATTACTATGAACAGTACCACTATTGGGCAAGTAAGGGTTACAGTTTTGATGGTCATTTAGATCACTTCACAAGTGATCCAGATGAGTCTGTGACTACTTTTGATGAAGACCAAGACTGTGATTCAGGATTAGGAAAAGAGGTGGGTCACAGTTTCCATAGTCATTTAGAACACTCTGCAGGTGATCCAGACAAGTCTGTTGCTTTCAATGATGAACACCAGGGCACTGTTTCACATGGATCTGGAAAAAAGCCAAGGAGGAAGAAGAAAGGCAGATGTGGTGGGGCTAGCCACTCAGCAGCAAAGTCAACAGCACATGCAGGCAGCAGGCTGCAACCACGGCAAGTTTCCAGGGGAAAGATTGAATCATGTGATGGAAATGAACCACCACCTGAAGAGAAATGCAAAAAATTGAAAAGGGCCCATGAGTTGGATGTGGAAGAAGAAAATACCTTGAGTCTTGAGAGAGCATATGAAATGATGGGATTCAAGGTATCTGATCTTATTGTTACTGTTATTATTATTATTGCAGTAGCATTACTATTATTATTATTATTATTATTATTATTATTTATTATTTATTTATTATTTATTACTACTATTTAATGTTTTTATCGTTGTTGGTTCATGTTGAAACCGTGGCAGATTTTAAAGAGGAATTAGTGAAAAGATGTTAAATATTGGTAGTGATTGCTAATAGTAATAGTAATAATAATTAGTAGAGAAACATTTTCGTGGAGTATAGTTCAAGAGATATTGAGACATTATGATTTTTTCTTTTCTTTCTAACAGATGTTAAGGTACAAATTTAATTCTTTTTAAGTGAAGCACTGTACATAGGTCTTTTTTATGAGTATTGAATAAAAATTAGCATTATTATTATTATTATTATTATGTGGAAGACACAGTGGCATAGTAGATTGAGAGGTCTGGGTTCAAGACCTAATTTCTCTTGACAGTATCACCCTTCAATCAAAAGTTAAGGTAATGAGAATAAAGGAAATTATCACCAATTTAAGAAGCTTCTGATCGTCAAAAAAATTCTCCTTGTCAGTACCATAGGAATTGTAAAGGGAACAGTGTGGAGAATATGAGTGCTAATGTTAGGGTGCACAGGGATAAAAATGAAGTAACAAGAACAAGAAGGCAAAAACTTAATTAATTAATTTTTTTGGTTCTGTTTTGTTTTGAAGGTATCTCGCAAATTACCTCTTAACACTTCCTGCTCTTCAACCTTATCAAGTGTCCCTAGTGGAAGTGCCAAACTGATATTACCCGTAGAAGACCTTCAGACCAAGAACAATTTTCTAAACTTGCACCAGGTGTCGAAAGTTCCCAAACCGAAAGGAATACATCTTAGATTTGAAGATGAAGATGATGAAGATGATGAAGATGATGAAATACATTGTTTCACTCGAGAGGGTGAGAAGCCTTCACTACTTCATGCTCAGGAGAAATCACAAGAAGAATCAGAAGATCAGAGGGGTTTTAAACATGACCAAGACACAGACACAGGCTGCTGCGTGGATTTAAGCGGTCAAATTGATTCAAGTCCGGATTCTAGTGGTAAAGATAACACAAATGCAGATTTAAGTGGGAATAGTGATTCAAATGTTAATCTAAGCGGTAAAACCGATTTAAAACCAGAGTTATGTGATTCACATATCGATTCTGGCGGAAAATCTGATTCAAACTTGGATGTTGGAAACAATATGAAGGATCGTCAAGTTGACGCTGTAGACAACCATAATAATGCTTGTCTTCGTTCAAATGATCACCGCAAAGTTTTCTTGAACCAGGACACTACTGATGGTGTTAAGGTGATAACAGATCCTCAGCAAGATCCAGAAATTGCCAAGTACTGGGCGCAGAGGTACCGCTTATTTTCGCGATTTGACAAAGGTATCAAAATGGACAAAGAGGGTTGGTTTTCTGTGACTCCTGAGCGCATAGCTAAGCATATCGCAGAACGGTGTCGTTGTGACCTTATCGTGGATGCATTCTGCGGAGTGGGCGGAAATGCAATTCAATTTGCCTTCACCTGCGAACGCGTCATAGCAATTGACATCGACCCTGTAAAGGTCGCCCTCGCTCATCACAACGCCACAGTGTATGGAGTGGCAGATCGGATTGAGTTTATTTGCGGTGATTACACGAGGCTGATACCGCGCTTGAACGCTGACGTGGTGTTTCTGAGCCCACCATGGGGCGGACCTAACTATACCAGCGCAGAAGTGTTTGACATTCGAACTATGATAACATTGGATGGCTTTAGACTTTTTGAAGCAACCAAATCGATCACGGAGAACATTGCTTATTTCATGCCTCGTAACGCCGACATCGAACAACTGTTATCCCTTGCTGCTCCAAGTGGTAAGGTGGAAATTGAGCAGAATTTTCTAAACAAGAAATTAAAGACAATTACTGCATATTATGGAGAACTGGTGGAAGAGGTATTTTAAAAATTTAGGGAAACGAAAACTTGCAGAGAACTTGCAAATCAGTTTCTGCCTAGTGAAACGAATAAGTCCCGCGTCCGTTTTCAGTGTATAAAACGCCAATAGTTTGGGCGAAATTAGCTGTCGATTTATTGTTTTAATTTATAGAATAATTTTCAAATGTATGTCAAAAGTAATCCCAGCCTTTTTAGGTTATGCTTCACTTCGCTCTGTGATTTCTCCAGAAAACTTGCGTTATTTTCTCAACCAATCAGATGCAAAACCAAAACCAATCGCACCTTTGTCACTCGGGTTTTCGCGCGCTTTACTCAAGTTATTCGTTTTTACTCTGCCTTCTCACTGGCTCCTTGCGATATTTTTCCTTCATTTTTTTATTTGTTTTACGATACTCAATCGAAAAGCGCTCTATCGATCGGTTGTGTTCACAGAAGTACTTTTCCTACTGTGCACCTAGACTCACTAACGATATTTAGATGGTCCACTGATTCGAAAACTCCCAGATGTAATAATAATTAATAAATAATTCTCCTTTATGGCTTGCGTTTGTTTCTTTATAAATGAGTTCATAGGATTTGGTTTTGTAGTCAATATAACGCTGTTTAAGTTGATAATTTTTGGGGAGAAGTAACGTGTTTATCACCTCGTGAAGGTAATAGTAATTTTTACTGGTCGGGGACTTCCGAAATCAAACCAAACATTAAGTAATTTTGCAATCGTTCAGTCTACGCACGTCAAGAATGTGTTTATAAACTTTGTTAGTGAATAGTTGTAACACGTGATTGAGTTACGCTTTTATCTGGACATCTCGGAAAAAATACTTGTGTTAAAAGACTATTCGATAAAAAAAAACATGTCCCAGGACCTACTTCCCTTAGGTCGGAGAAAATATACCAACCCCAGTTTGGTATTTTACCGATACCCAAAATTCCCCTCAGTCTCTCTCAGCCCAATCTGTTAAGTTGACCATCAAACTGCAAACTGCTTATATGACCATTTCAGGCTTCTCGTAGGGTCCAAATTGGAATGAAAAAAATATTGAAATAGGGCTTGACGAAAGAAATTCGAAATAGTAGCAGGAATAGGGGGTAATCTTCCTCTCTTTTCGCTCTATTTTCCGTATCTGAAACACCTGGTTCTCTAGCCTTCCTACTCACCATAAATAAGAGTGCGGGGAATTTCACAAAGAGCGCCACGCATGCCCCACCCGCCGCCATTTTGAAAACCTTGAAACGCTTGGGTACGAGGTTTGTGACGGACGCGCGCGTCGCCAAAAGGCGCGAAATATAACGTAGGTCAACGAGTACAGCAGGCATAAGGTCACGCTCATTTCTTTTCACAATTTTTCTGTCCAGAAAATATGAATATCTAGACGCATTTTAACCTAAATAGCAATTCTTTATAGCTGTCTTAAGTAGAGGAATCCTCTGAAGAACATTTTAAGAACAACTGACTTGTTAGTGAAATAATTTTTCACCAATGAGTAATCGACCCAACAGTAACCTAAGCGGTAAGTTAAAGCCTTTTAAATTGTTACAACTTTTTCGTTTAACTCAGTCAGCGTCGCTAGAATGTAACCTTTTTGATAAGCTACTTAAACAGTGGATAATTTATGAAGACAGCTCAATGGTTAAAACTTTGTCATCTACAGGGCGAACAGTACCAATGTTCGCTTTAAATAACAGGAAGAAAAGATTAAGGCAGGCCTTGTACGCGAACCCAACAACAGACAGCTTTGAAGACTCTTCAGCCTTCACGTTAAACAATGCTGGAGAGGGATACTTTGATGCTAGTGAAGTAGCGATACCACAGAAACGTTTTCAGCGACTTCAACCGCCAAATTCCTCAAACAATGAGAAAAATGTCAACGGCACTTCCTCTTTCTTGCGACAAAACCAGGAGTCAATTTGTGGAAGTGGTAGGAGTGGAAGCTCTTTGCCATGCAGTGGGCGTTATTATGGCACTAATCAAATTGGAGCACAACTTCGCCAGCCGATAAAACAACAAACCCATTCCTTTCTCATCAATAGTATGGATTCACCACCAACCAATTATCCGTCCAGTAACAAGTTTGTTTTCTAGTTTTCACTTTTTTGTTTTCGTAAAAAAAAACTTTAATTAAAAAATTTTCCAATTGACAAGTTTCATTCTTCGTAGGCAGCCAGAATTTCAAATTAAAATTTGAATTTTATCATCATTTTCTGTATTTACAGGACTCTGCAACACCAGCCAGTCACAGGTTTTCAAGGCTCTGGTATAAAAGTTGAGAAACAAGATATGACCAGACAAAGAAAACCAGGCCAACAGGATCAGAATTTTCAGTCCAAGGTAGAGCAATATTGAGTCTACCTCAGGTTTAGTTTAGATGGTGGCTTTGCAGTATTTCCGCAAGTGGAAAAAAGATTTCCACATTAAAAAATACATCCAAATGTCAAATTGAGCACAAAGAGTTGTGCTCAAGGATAACTACTATTTTAAAGTACTATATTTTGGAGTGAAGTATCTGCAAAAATAAGTGATTGATATGAGAGCTACCATTTATAACTCACCTCAAACATTACAGCCTCTTACTGTCTCATTTGCCTTCCTCTTCTTTGCTTTCTCAGTGATTAGACTATACATCTTTCTGGGTAACCCTTTTCTTGAGTGCCTTTTCTTGAAAAAGGGTTCCCTTCAATTAAAGAAAGGAGCCAAGTGGGCCCTCTTTAATTATTTTCAAATAAATATGAGTCAATTTAGTGAAAATAAGTACTTGTTAATTTTTCAAAGACTACAAATTTCACTCTAAAGGCTCATGCAATTTTGTTGTCTTTGAAAAATTTACTCTTCCTTATTGACACCACATTGCACTTGAAATCATGTTTTCATCTATACAAAGCTCAGGGGCTTTGTGACCATGTGTTTTAGGGTCTCCAGAGAACAGTAAGCTTAACAAACTAGCTGAAAACTATAATCCAGATCCTGAAGGGCCCTCCACTGAGCTGTTTAGAAATTTTTTTTTCCTAAAACAATGCTCATAAATTCACAAATTACAGGAATGGTCCGGTAAACAAATGAATCTCATGGCCACTCCAACAGACAAGTCTCTCAAGTTTTTAACAGCCACAGTTCAAAGTGTTCTTAAGTGGAAACAGTATGAAGACATGGTCACTTCAATTTATGAAGTATTTGGTGAGAAATTTACCTCCTTTACTAGTTTAGACTTTTCACTGTCCTTCTTCTATAGTGTCATTATGCATGAGTATCTAAATTTGCTCTTAACGGAAAGGTAGACTAATCCTTTAAATTCTACTAACTAAAAATAAACAAATATATCCTTAGGAACACTAGACTCACAAGTTTCCTTGAATGCAGCTGGTAATGGAAAAAATTTTGTCATCAAAGACAAAACTGGAGTTCTGAGGTAATTTACAATGTCAAGTACAACTTGAAAATTACATGTCAAGGGTCTTTTGATTTGCTTGAAACCCATTATTGACTATATCAGTTTTCTCCCAATGCTTAGGTGCACTTTTTGGGAAATGGTAAGCATGTCTCAATTATATACCCAATTCTTTAAAGTAATGCCTGATATAATATTTTTAAATTAAAGGGAATTTTCAATGAGAACAGTGGTGTTAATTTCTTTTTTTAGGATCGCCAACTTCCAAGATTGACAAGAGGGAAGATGCACAGGTGATTAAGTCAGTCTGTTTAATAGTGTTCAATTAATCAAGATCAAAGCATAATTTTAAAAAATCCATCTGCTCTTCTGAATTCTAAAGGTTAGGATAACCTTAAGTAACAATAACAATGACAAAGGTGTAAAAAAGTTTTATGTTTTAGGATTTCCCCTAAATAAACTTCATGAATTATTAGAGACCTTGAGAAATATATGTTGTTCATACTGTATATATTGACAAATACATATTTTTGAAAGGTGTGTGGGATTCTTGGACAAAAATGGTGGAACTTTTAATTGTGTGTCCATCAGACCAAGTAAGCAGACAGAACTGCTGGTTATGGTAGACTTCTTAAAAGCATCAGAGTTGGCTATGCAACAACAGCTAGCAACCTTCAAGGAAGACTAACATTTGGAAAAATTAAGTATTCAGGTCAAATAAGTTTTATTAACTGAATTTCTTAAAAAATAATGAATACTCTTTACAACAGGCTGACAAGTTGCCACTAATCAAAACATGAACTACAGCAATGTCATGTTCAATACATATGAGATGTTGTCTGACCAATGATGTGCATTTTTACTCCTATTGCTACTTACAATATTAATACCCTCATTATGACCATGAAATAAAAGAGGAAAATACTTTGTACTGCACAGTGTCAGATAACTGTGAAAATGTCTATACAGCTTTGCAGTAAACAAGAAGTATCTTCAAATTTGTGTCTGTACCAGTTATCCATCCCACAACTGTTGATTACACTTTCACAAAGACACATCTAGTAGAGTTTACCAGCCATATCCAACTCTGATCAGGCTCTTTACTGGTTGGTTCTGTCCCTAGTTTTGTAAGTAACACCTCTAGCCTTGAGTTCCCGTACTACATGACCTGGCAGTTTACCACTCACGGATATTGCATAGCACCCTCTTACTAATGTATCTAGAAAAAAGTAACAAATGTCATTGCATGGTCATCATTATTATTGCCACCATATAGTCAAATAGTAAATAAATTTGAGTAACATTCTGAAATAATACATAGTAGATGATAGAGTTATTTTAGGGTATAAACAATCACTCATTTTATGGTTGCACATTTAGTGCAGATGAATCACATTAATGTGTTTCTTATCTATTATTATGACATTTCCTATATTTGAATATACATATCTAGTGAATTGGCTCACCAATTCGTTGCCATCTTGCCACCCAGCTGTCTTCTGGTGTCATAAGGGATATAATTCTGTCAGAAGATTAACAAAAACAATCATGCATAATAATAGTATTTTGTTATTTGAGTTGTCCTTATCAAACGCCACTAAAAGGGTAATTTTTTCTGGACAAATGAAACTGAACATGTCACATAGGGAAAGTACTACAATCTAAAAAGATGTATATAACTTCTTTGAAATATATCCAAGACACAAGTTGTCAATTATGAGCCAGGAGGTTGATACATGTTCTTCACTAGTAAGAAGGGAAAGAGAAAAGAAGTATTCTCAGTAATAAATGGGCAACTCAATCTAACTTTCCATTAGACTTGCATGAATAAAAAAATTTTGAACCAAACTAAGCCCCACCATGAAATTTAAATGTCTGTAAGGTTTTGGTGAAGCAATTTCTCCTAGTCTTCAACATGTGAGCAATGAAACGTTTATTGAGAGCGACCAATGGTTAAAAAACAAAGGTTTGTATACTTGAATGGAGGAGTTATTAGTTATTACCCATCAAAGTTTGCACTTGTACAAGTAAGGATATTTTCTTTGTTGTTCTTTAGTCTGAGATATTTTTCACAATTGTCACAGCCATCGTATTCAAACTGCTCTAAGGTCTGAAAGAAACAGATTGAAAGTAAATGCAAAGTTAGACCAGGTGCTAGGTTTAACTTGTTTGACATTTTCAACATATAGACATTACATTGATCAATCTGAAGATACTTAAAAGTTACTACATACTGAGCGATAACACTGATATTAAAAGGCTAAAATAAGGAACGACAGAAGGCTTTTGGGCCGCTCTCGACCAGTGCTAATGAATAGTGGTTTTTGGTATAAAGGTTAAGATGGTTTCGATTGGGAAGTTTTAACCTCCACCTCATGACTCGTGCTTTAAAAGTTTTTCGATACCCGTAATGCTCAGTTTTTCGACAATTCTATAAAAAATGACCATAGTTCATGTATATAATTTCTTACCTTTACTAAAGAACACAGGAGACATGCTCGAAGATTTCTCAACTCCTTTGGAACGCTCTCCATCTTGTATTTGAAATTTTCGTTCCCAGATCTCTTCAGGCGTCCAGTCTCTCCGCGTTATTCTATTCTATTCATAGAAGCGATAGCTTCTAGTCATACATACACATTCATTTAAATAACTTTAGCTAGACTTGAATATGGCTCGTCGTGAGGATATTTATGACGTCTGTGTGGTGGGGGCCGGTATAGAGGGAAGTTCAACAGCTCGATACCTTGCTTCGCGGAAGAAAAAGACTCTCCTCTTAGAACAGGTACATGCAAATGTTTTTCTAAAATTTCTCTATCGTACCGAAGACGATCGGACAAATTTGATTTTAATTCAATTAGAATTAACATATTAAAAACAACATCACTAATGATTTGTTTACAAGTAGTAAGATTCTTATAACATCTGATGATTTTTACAATTGGCAAGAGATCTCAGATTCTTACAATAATGGCTAGAGATCTCAGATTTCTATAGTTGGCAAGAGATCTAATTAATTGAAATTTAATTTACTTTGAAGTTTTCAGCTCTACGGTTAAGTAATCACTATTTCTGATTCTAAAAAGTATATAGGCGATAAAAAGTCACAAGACAGTTATGTCATAAATGTTTAACCGCCAAATAAATCACCCTGATTGGAGTTTCCATCTTGCTTTTCCGGGTAATATTTCCTATTAATCCCATACTTTCCTAAGACAAAGCTGTAGTCCCAAATAAAATATCTTGTTTTTCCAAATGCTCTACGTGAAAGTAATCACTATTTCTGATTCTAAAACATATATATGTAATTACAAGTCACAAGATAGCTATCTCATAAATGTTTTAATGCCAAATAAATCACCCTGGTTTGAGTTTTCCATCTTGCTTTCCCAGGGAATATTTCCTTGTAATCCCATACTTTTGTAAAACAAAGCTGTAGTCCCAAATAAAATGTCTTGTTTTGCCATTGTTTTCTCTCTGCTAAATACTGTATGCATGATGAAGTATGGGGTCATGTGGAAATCTTGTTCATTTCCTTTTCTGTTCTTGATTTGTCTCTCATCATATATGCAACACTCCTAAAGTCAGGAGACCTTTTCACTTATATTAGTTTGATAAGTTCTTATATCCTTGTCATATAGTAGTATTATGCTTCTGCAATGAAAGGTTAAGAGCTTTTTCTCTTATTTCAACATCTTTATTTTTAACAACAAATACATCACAAAAAGTAGACAAGGTGCCAGATTTTCTCTGCACATAAACAGTATTTAACTTTCATATATTTTTGGAAGCTTCCTTAAGCCTGGGTGGTAGAAGAAGGCCTCTTTTGTCATCTTATCTAAGATCTTTTAAGTCTGTGTAGGACTTAAAATGGGGAGACAGTACCACCATTATCTACCATTAAGTATACATAAATATAAAGTTAATAAAGAACTGTTCACTTTTATCAGTTTCCTCTTCCCCATGCACGTGGTAGCTCACATGGTCATAGCAGGATTGTTCGCTATGGTTATCCAGAGGATTTTCATGTAGCATTGATGCCAGAGGCCTTTGAAATATGGAGTGAGGTTGAAAAGAAATATGGAAAACCTCTTATCAAGTTTGTATCTTGTTGTTTTCTAAGTTGTCTCTAAATATACATGGTTTCAAATGCTTTTAAATGAAAAGAAAAGTCAGCTAGAGTACAGATTTTATGGCCTCAGTTTTAGTGAACAAAAACTTGTGCTAGTGGCTGGTCTAATAGCATGTTGTGGTAATATATAGATTTAGCCAAGCCTAAAAGTGGAGCTTGCATTTTTTTCCCCGCACATCTCAAAGGCACAACACCTTGCCCTAGTCAGGACTAGAACCCAGGTTGTCCAACTCGGAGCCCAGTGCACTGACCACCGGACTACTGAACAAAGCCATGGCATTGGTGTGCCCGCGGTACAGTTGACCGTGCATGTTAAAAGTAGCACCTTGTACGGTCATATGGTCGTACGGCCGTACATCCAAATTTTTTCGGCCTGATGAGTTACTACTATTTTGTATAATTATGGGGCTATGCTCTACGAACTCCGCTAATGTTGTGTTAGAATATTCTTTATCTATCATTTTTTGGTAGATCGCTTTCTTTTGTCTCTCACTTGGGATTTTAATGTCAAATAATTGCATATGTAGTCAATATGCAAAAACCTATCCAATAGACCATTTTATGTTAAATTGATTTACTGGAAAGTAAGGAATCCTAAATCATCTTGAATCAAGCCATTTTAATATTTTTCCTTTGCAAATGAAGTGTCTGTAATATACCCGAGTTATCTCAAAAACCAGGTTATTTGTCCCTCAAATTTACCTACCTCATGCTTTGGCTTTGGTTGATGCAGCTGTTTCATCAGTACAGAAGGTTTGTCTGAAAAAAAGAGTAATATTGTGCACACAAACCTCAAAATGTATTGTGGGTAGTTTTCAGGTCAGAATTACCTCAGTCACAGTTCCTTGACCTCAAGATTTCAGAGAAATCTGAGAAAATGCCACTGCAAAGACAGGGCATAGTGTGTTTGATTAATTAATTTACTTAATATTTTAGGCATGAAAACTCATTGATTACCAGGTACTCAGTTTACATTTTGAGATTGTTGTCTCAACTTTTGTCCTTTTTTATGACAACCTTAATCAAAACAGCTGCCTACAGACCTACTATTACAGTCAGGTCAAGCTTGTTACTAGTTCTCATCTCAGCAATGAATTGTTTTCCTCCTTTGACACTCCAACATCTAATTTGCTATGGAATCATGTGATAGAAAACAGTATCCACTGAATGAGATACTGCTGACTTGGTTGGTTGGTTGAATTGTTTATTTATTTATCTATTCAAATGATTAGAGGCACATTGGCCTCATGGTTAGTACACTCAACTCTGGATTGAGTGGCCCGGGTTCAAGCCCTGGCCGGGGCCATTCTGTTGTGTTCTTAGGCTTTTACTTTACTCTCACAGTGCTTCTCTTCACCCAGGTATACAAATGGGTACCAGCAAATATGTTGGGGGTAACTCTGCGATGGACTAGCATCCCATCCAGGAGGGAATAGCAATGCTCTTAGCTATTTCGTGCTAAAGGAAACTGGAGTTAAGTGCCGGCCCCATGGGCCCCTTGGGCCTGTGTAAAGGCTTTTTTTAAAATGGTTGCTAATTTTGTTATTTTCTTTTTTCAGAAAGTGTGGTTTGTTAACGATAGATGAACCTCCCTATGCAGATGTAGCACAAGTAATTACCAACGTACGAGGCGTAGGGAAAGAATGTATTCCTCTTTCAGCTGAAGAAAGCAACAAGAGATTTCCTGGTTTAAATTTCTCACCAGATGATTCTTGTGCTCTGGAGCAGGACAGTGGATTAATTGATGCCAATAGTGCACTTAAAGCGATGCAGGTGGGTATTGGATTACCTCTTTATACTTAAAATATTAAATGAAAATCTTTTCTGATCCAGATATTTTGGAGACTGTTAACATCATGGTTATAGAATCTTACTCCATGTAAAAATAAAGAACCAGACTTATGAATGTAGGTGTCAGTAGGGCTTCAAGACATGGCTGTTCCTTCTGGGTTTTCTTACTATGCATGCTAGTTTCAAGGGAGGTAGTGCATTCAAGTAGTTAGGACACTGGACTTGTAATCTGGTGGTCCTGGGTTCAAGCTATCTACCCTGCTACTAGCTGAATTTGTTCTCATTTGCTCGAGTTTAACTCCTTTGCTGTGCTTCCTGTCAGTTGATATTTTTTAACAAGACCATGTTTATTCATTCATTCATTTATTCATTTGTATTGGCCCTGAAAAGTTCCATTTGTGGAGAGGTTAATTACATGCACCTGTCATGCTGTGTTAAAATGCTTAAGAAAAATTTATTCCTGTAGATAGTACCTCAATCCCTTAAAACACAGAGAACCAGACTTGCCAGTTAAAACCCTGCACATGAGACTACCAGAGCTTTTTCTGATTTAGAGCAAATGAGTGTGGTGAAATTAAAACTAAGTGATCACAACAGCAAATCAGGAAACAGATGTCAGAATGAGTCCATTAGAAGGCAGTGTAAAAGAATTAACTGCCTGAGGAGTGGAAAAATGTAAATGACTAAATGCTGATGGGTTCTAGTT